TAATTTCCAAAGCCGTTCAGCATTTAATAATAGTGTTTGAGGGTAATTCTTATTTAGAAAGTTTTCCGTCTCAGCCCCAAGCTTAAAAAATCTCAACAAAACTTTCCCCCCCTCTCCTTTTCTTATTTTGACCAGATGAATATGTATTGGCACTTCTTTAAAAAATGTGACATCTGAAACACCATGAAGCTGTAACTGTCACTATGATTGGGTGTGCATTGAACAAAAGTAAAAAGTGATGAGCATCGCATACAGTTTCTGTTCTGTTGCAGCTTTTCAATCATGTTGTTGATGATATAACTGTAGATAACACATAAATGAACAATCATGGCTGTGCTCCAATAAAACTGTTTCTAAATTCAAAAAAGCTTGTAGGTGATACGAAGACAGGCAATGAGCTAAAGGCTGTCATTTGCTAATAATAAGCAATAAGCCGCTCATCCAACATCGGGATTGAGCTCTGTTCCTGGGACCTTTCAGCAGCTGCAGACCCCAATAGGCTTCAGTGCAACTTTTCTTCCACTTTCTGAGCCCTGTCTCTGACTCCACACTCAGCTTCTCATTTTTCTTCTCCTTTACTCCTACTACCTCCTCGTAGCTCCTGAGAGAGCCCTTTTATAAGATTTTGAAAATTTAGAACTCAAAATCTTATAAAAATGAATGTTGAAAAGTAAAAATTAATTAATTTTTAAAAAAGAAAGAAAAGAGTTTTAGGGACTGTAAAGTGATATATAAATATGAGCTATTTCTAATGCACAGCTCTGATCATGGCACTGTCCCACTCAAAACTTTCAATGGCTCCCTACTGCCTATAGGATAAATAACCTTGACTCAGCATTCAAAGGCCACCATAACTTGACATCCCCTTTCCTTTCCAGATTTATCTCATATGCTTCCTTTTCCTCTCTGCTACCCCAAATCCTTCATACTATTCCCCTTGATGAACTTGATGTTGCATCCAACCTAGGCTACTGGCTCTTCTTTGCACTGAATACTCCAGCTACTCTCTCATGCATTTGCCATTCCTACCTCCAGTGCTTCCTTTGAGCTTCCAATCAGCTCAAAAGGAAGAAACTACTAGAAAGTTATACATGTATTTAAGAAGCAACAAAATGGAAAAAACCTGAGTAGGTGTCCTGGTACCATGTAGTATGGATCATTTTTTCATTTTCAATGACTATCTCAATCAATCAATATTTATTAAATTCCTACTATATGCCATGCACTATTTCTATTTGTCATCTTTATCTCTATTTTCCTGGCCAGGCATAAATCTAAGCAACTCAGTGCTCACTCATTGAGACATATAGCCAAACCTAGGTCATTTGGGTCTGTCTAATATTGTCCATCTGCACCACAGATTTTGCCCGTTTGATGACTGACCACTAAAGCAGCCTCTCCAAGCAAAATATACATTTAGAAGCCTTTTCTCCCTCCTGTTGAGGGATATTGGAAGATCTGGAAGACAGCCAGGTAGAAAAAAATGGCCTCGGCTGTTAACACTACCATTCGTTAAGCTGCATAACCAGAAGAAGTAGCCAGCTGAACTTGGAATATCTATCTAATCAGGACCATTAATGAGTATTTAGAAATGTGCTTCTTTTGTTTTTGTTTCTTTTGTGTGTTTGATTAAAAGGTGATCATCTTGAACATTTCCACAGTAATTAATGATCTAACTGATTGATATAGCTAAATTGATAAATAATAAATAATGGATTGAGTAACTAAATGACCTAACTCTCTGACTTATGCTTTTTCCTCTTTGGATAGTAATGCTATGTGATGTCAGCACCACCAAACTGATCATCCATCATCCATCCATTTGCAAACTTTATGTTCAGCAAACCTAGCTACTTGATGATCCTTGAACTGGGCACTCCCTCTCTGCCCTCCATGCCTTTCAAACTGCCACCTCTCCTATAGTTCTTGGTCTCCTTTCCTCCAACTCAAAAAGGTTAAGAATCCCCGTTCTAGCGGAATATGAGTTCCTTAAAGACTGACACTGTTTTTTTATCTGTATCCCCAACACACGACAACAGAAAGGGCTTAATAATGCCTGTTGATGGGAAAGAATCTTTATAATCAGCCTCTCTTATAAAGGCCTCATTTCTAAAACATATCAAGAACTAAGTCAGATTTATAAGAATACAAGGCATTCCTCAATTGATAAATGGTCAAATTATATGAACAGGCAGTCTTCAGATGAAGAAATTAAAGCCATCTAAGTCACATAAAAAAAGGCTCTAAATCACTATTGATTAGAGAAATACAAATCAAAATGACTCTGAGGTATTATGTCACACCTATCAGGTTGGCCAACATGACAAAACAGGAAAATGACAAGTGTTGGAGAAGATGTGGGAAAATTGAAACACTAATACATTGTTGGTGGAGTTGTGAAATGGTCCAACCATTTTGGAGAGCAATTTGAAACTATGCCCAAAGGGCTATAAAAATGTGCATACTTGTTGACCCAGCAATAGTACTTCTAGGGCTATCTCCCAAAGAGATCATAAAAATGAGAAAAAGACCCACATGTACAAAAATATTTATAGCAGCTCTTTCTGTGGTGGCAAAGAATTGGAAGTTGAGGGGATGCCCATCAATTGGGGAATGGCTGAACAAGTTGTGGCATATGAATGTGATGTATGCTATTGTGCTATAAGAAATGATGAGCAGGCAGACTTCAGAAAAACCTGGAAAGACTTGTATGGACTGATGCTGAGTGAAGCCACGTTGTGTAATATCTCACTTTGATAGACTTGGCTCTTCTCAGCAATGCAAGGATCTAAGACATCTCCAAAAGACTCATGATGGAAAATGCTATCCACATCCAGAGAAAGAACTATGGAGTCTGAGTACAGATTGAAGCATACTATTTGTTCTTTTTTTTCTTCTGTTTTGTTTTGTTTCTTTTCTCATGGTGCCTCCTATTGGTTCTAATTCTTCTTTACAACATGACCAATGTGAAAATATGTTTAATAGGAATGTATTTGTAGAGCCTATATTAGATTGCACTGTCTTGGGGACAGGCGAGAGCAGGGAGGGGAAGAAAAGTTAAAACTCAAAAGCTTATAGAAGTGAATGTTGTGGACTAAAAATAAATAAATTAATTTTTAAAAAATAATGCTTGTTGACTTGAATTGAACTGATGAGACTGAGAAAGTGGAATTTGAGGGGACTGAATTGGGACAAAAGAACAGAACTGAGGAAATGAGGTATTCAGTTTAAGGGACAGATACTAAAGAGATACCACCCAGATATGGGAACAAGAAGATTGGAGGTATTAGTTCAGCCCTCACCGTTTCCCTAGATTACTGTGTTGGGGCTTCCTAATTAATCCTCCCTATCTCTCTCTTCTTGGCAAAGATATTGGAGTGGTTTTAGAGAAGAGGAAACTGTGGCAAATAGAGTCAAGTGATTTGCCCAGGATCACACAGCTAGTAAGTGTTTGAGGCCAGATTTGAACTCATCAAGATGAATTTTCCTGACTCCAGGAAGACACTCTGTTCACTGTGCCACCTAGCTGCCCATACTATAATAGCCTCCTAAATGGTCTTCCCACCTCCTGTCTTTTCCTCTTCAGTCCATCCCAGTCCAAACTGTTGAAAGAGCAGGTTTAAAAAATTTTTTCCCAATTGCATATAAAAACAATTTCTTCTTTTTTTATTTTGAATTCCAAATTCTCCCCCTTCCTCCCTCCCTTCCTCCCTTGCAGAACCAGTAAACAATTTTATATTATACAGATTATACATGCACAATCATGCAAAGCATATTTCCATGTTAATCATGTTGTGAAAAAAATAAAGTGAAAAATCATATGCTTTGATCTGCATTCAGACTCCATCAGTTCTTTCTCTCGTGGTGGCTATAGCATTTTTCATGGTAAGTCCTTTGGAATTGTCTTGGATTACTGAATTGCTGAGAATAGCTAAGTCATTCACAGTTGGTTATTGTACAATATTGTTGTTACTGTATACAATGTTCTCCTGGTTCTGCTCACTTCACTGTATCAGTTCACGTTTGTCTTTCCAGGTTTTCTGAAATGATCCTGTTCATCATTTCTTATAGCACAAAAGTATTCCGTTTCAACCATATACCAAAACTTGTTCCATTTCTGAATTAATGGATACCTCCTCAATTTCCAATTCTTTACCACCACAAAAAAAAAGTTGTGATGAATATTTTTGTACAGATAGGTCCTCTTCCCCTCCTTTTTTTAAAAAATCTGTTTGGGATACAGATCTAGTAGTGGTATTGCTGGATCAAAGGGTACTCACAGTTTGATAACCCTTTGTGCATAGTTCTAGATTACTCTCCAGAATGCTTGGATCAGTTCATACCTCCACCAACAGTGCATTAATGTTCCAATTCTCCCACAAACCCTCCAATCTTTATCATTTTCTTTTTCTGTCATATTAGCCAATCTGATAGGTGTGAGTTCTTACCTCAGAGTTGTTTTCATTTGCATTTCTCTAATCAATAGTGATTTAGAGTATTTTTCACATGATTATAGATAGCTTTGATTTCATTGTCTGAAAACTGCCTGTTCATATCCTTTGACCATTTATCAGTTGGGGAACCAGAGTAGTCTTTCCAATGCACTGCTGTAATCGTACTACTTGTCTAAAAAAATGCAGTGGGTCCCCGTTGCTGTCTGAAAAAAAAGTATAAATTCTTATCGTTGGCACTCGAGGACCTCCTTAGCCTAGCATCACTCTCCCTTTCACTTCTTGTTTTCCAACAAGCTGGCTCTCAAACACCCGGTGCTGAGGCTTACTTGACGGGTGACCTTAGGTAAATCACTTCCCTTCTCTGAGACTCTGACAAACAACCTTTGAATGTTCAGGGAGGTCTTTTCACCTCCCTCCTGCGGTTTGAGTGACAACTGAAAGCAGCACGGGGAGGGGGGCGGGGGCGGGGCAGGAGCGCAGTCCCAAGCAAAGGTTGACCAGCTCAACCCCGGGAAGAGCCAAAGTCCCGCCCCCAGGAATGAGTTCCTGGCTGGGCGAGGCCAAACAGCCCGAGTCTTCCATCCTCAGAGGTTGCTTGGGGAGTGCTGAGTCCCGGCCAGACAGCCCAAGTGAGTCCCCCTTCCCCTTCCCCGGGGACAGCTGGCTGAGACGACCAGGTCCCTGGGGCCGCGATGATTTCCTTCGCGCCTCTCTCGGTGCCGCTGGAGCGGCGGCTGCAGACTCTAGCTGCGGTTCAGTGGCTTTTCAGTTTCCTGGTTTTGGGTAAGGAAAGAAGGTAGTCCTGCATGTGCTTGTCCTTCCGTGGGAATATTCCAGGCTCCCCCCGTCCTTTCCTTTTTCAAGGCCCCTCGGGAGAAGAAAGGGAATGGAGAGGAAGGAGGAGGAGCAAAGATTGGACCAATACTGGCTAGCAATCTGAGGGTCCTTCAGCCTAGCGCCCCTCTTCCCCACCCCTCCCCCAGGGTCCTGGTGATGGATGGGAATAGAGGGAGAGGAAGAAAGCCCGAGGGGTGAAAGGCTCCTTTCGGACGGAATTAGAGGATTTGGCTTCTAATCCTAAAGCTGTCATTTACTACCTATGTGATCTTGGGCAAAGCCCCTAAGCCTCTGGGCTTTCGTTTCTTCAACTGTAAAATGCAGCAGTTGGACTATGAAAGGCGATCTAGGAACTGGAGGGAGCTGGAGGGAAAAGGGACTTGTAGTCTGATCTTGGAAAAGAGGAGGGAAGGACAATCTAGGAAGGGAGCCTGGGAGATCCTCAGTCCCCTCTGCTTTTCCATGAGAGTGTGTTGGTTATGAAGGGGAGGGGGATGGAAAGGACACGTGGAGGATAAAAGGTAAGTCCATCTAGTACAGTGCCCCAAGGGTGTGTTCTTGACCTCTGTGGGGTTCACTATTTTTTTTTATCAGTGTTTTTGGATAGAGGCAGAAGTGGCGGGCTTGTCCAGTGTCTTGAGAGCAGAAAGCTAGCTAGAAGATAACATGTTGGCTGACATGACATAACATGACAGCCTCTAAAAAAAAGTGGGTTGAATCTTTTAAAGGTCCCTTTTAACGTTACTGGCCACTAAATCTTAGTCAAGTTTTGCAAGCTTCGTTTTCCTCCTGTAAAACAGAATAGATACTGCGTTGCCTAAAAGTCACAGTGCCGTTTTAAGGTTTGTAAACTTAAAAGGGCACTAGACTTTGGGGACATTCTTGATTTCCCCAGTGTTCCTCATAGGCACGTTCTGTGAGGCTAGAAGAGAAAGGTTACGTAGTACTTTGCAAGCTCAATCCATATCCTCAAAGTGAAAAATATTCAACAAACATTTATCAAGCACCTACTGTGTACTGAGCACTCTGCTCAATCGGAAGATTTACCATCTACTGTGAGCCAATCCCTGTCATTACATCACACTTTCTGTGTTACAATTTGTACAGTGCAACCTCTGTTGGTTTTGTGCAATGTAATCTCAAAGAGCTGACTTCCTGAGAGGGGGGTAGCATCCACACCGTGAGCATTATGTGAAGTAGAGGAAGTGTTGGGGCAAAGGTGATGTCCAAAGACCATGTCCAAAGACAGTATTCAAGGGAAAGCTGAGAAGGGAGGAAGGATTTTCTGTAGGAGGGATCTCAGGGTTTATATACATAATAAGCCTGGGTACCTACCCTCTGACTAGCAGGAAAGGAAGGGTTCTGAGTACAAGGGAGAGAGGAGGAATCAGTGCCTTCCAGGCACTGGGGGTGGCTGGGCCTCAATGGATGCTACTTCAGATAGGAAAGGGCTGCAACTAGTAGATTCAATTAAATTCCACTAACATTTATTATGTGCCTAATTAATATGAGCAGAACACTGTGCAGTGCTGGGGATACAAAGACAGAAGTGAAAAACCATCCGTGTCCCCTTAGAGTTTATATTCTACTGGGGGAGACACATAAATAAACAAATAAATAAATACACAGTAATTTCCAGTACGGTGAGAGCTCTGACTACTCAGGGAATCAGGAATGGCTTCCTGGTAAGTGTGGCACATAATCTGTGTCCTGAAGGAAATGAGATCTTAACGGGTGGAAGTGAATAGGAAAGACATTTGAGCAACGGGGGAGAATGGCCAGACCACCTGAGCTCAGTCTCCTTGGAATGTTGATTTCAGAGCTGACATTCAAATGCATGTCACTTGACTCCAAATCTATTATTCTTTCCTCTCTGGCCATACTAAATGAGTAAGATTATAGGTTTAGGTCATAGATTTAGAGCCATGACCCTATAGAATCAACCTGAAAGACCTTTGAGTCCAACTCCCTTATTTTGTGGATGAAGAAACTGAGGCACAGAACTGTAATGTGACTTTCCAAAAGACACTGTTACTAAATGTCTGAGGTGGCATTTAAACTCAAGTTTGAAAACAGTGGTGTTCAACTCAAATAGAAATCTGTGTGACCTTGGACAATACATTAAACTCTGGGACAATACATTAAACATTTCTCATCCGTAAAATAAGAGCCTTCCATGACTAAGAGTATGAGTTTGGGAGTCTGTAAGGTGAGGAGTGATAGGAGGGTGAGAAAGTGGAAGCCCTGAGGGTGGGCTCCTCTTGGAGAGGAAGGATAAGAGATGACAGTTAGGTTAGAGGAAGTCTTGTTTAAGGATAGGGAGAGGCTGAACATATTTCTGGGCAGTGAGGAAGAAGCCAGTAGATAAGGAGCACAAATATAAAAGTAATAAATACAAGATTGTTAAACACAAGGTAATTTGGGAAGAAAAGCACTAGCAATTGGGGGAATCAAGAAAGGCTTCATGCAGAAGATGTTGCTTGAGATATAGTTCTTTTTTAACTTAGAAATGTTTTAGAGGCAGCTAGGTGGCGAAGTGGCCTTAGAATCAGGAGGACCTGAGTTCAAATCCAGCCTCAGACACTTGACATTTACTAGCTGTGTGACCCTGGGCAAATCACCTCACCCTAATTGCCTCACCAAAAAAAAAAAGTTTTAAAAATAAGTTTTTATTGGTGTCTTTTTTTTTTTACAACATCATAGTTTTCCCCAGTATCCCTCCCTCTACCCTTCTCAAAGAGCCATCCTTTCTGACAAATAGCATTTTTTAAAGACAAAAAATGAGGAAAAATTCAACACAACTGACTAACATAATGAAAAAATCTGAAAACATGAAATGTGCAACACTTTGGGTCTCCCGCCTTGGGCCAACCCACCCCAAGTATCCTCTCATATTTCTTCACTGAGGTCATTTATCTTTATGGGATATAGGATCTTTATTATTTTGCTACATTCACTTTTGCTTTCTTTGTATTTGGTTGTTCTCAGGGTGAGGATGGGGGTGGGGGGCAAGACCCATCCCAAACATCAGGCTTTTTTGCAATGTCATTTTCAGAACTAGTTTTGGGGGGTTGGAAGCTTTCAGTGCTTCCAAGGTGGTGATCTGAGAAGAGGTATGGTCACTGCTGCCTTGCAACCAGAAATGATACCACTCCTCAGGGCCTTTGCTCCTTTGGGACTTCAAGCACTCTTCTCCACCCTGGAACTGTGACCTGGAAGTGGGTATAGGTAATGGAGTTGCTGAACAGCACCATGTTCTGTGCCCAGCGCTAATACAGGGGTTCTCCTGTAATCTCTTTCTGACCGGTAGCCTGATCTTCTTACCATCTGTGCTTTGAAAGATCCTAAAACTGCCGCTACTACTCCCAACGCCCATTGCTGGTGTTACTGCCACATGGGTTCCAGGCCAGCCACCACCCCAGTGTGACAGACCTCTCCTTCTGACCTCCTAAGTTGTGTTGGCTGGTAAAATATCTCACCCCTACCTTTTGTTGGTTCTTCTGCTACAGAATTCAATTTGCGACGTTATTTTAAAGTTATTTGGGGAAAAAAAATTAAAAAAAATAAAGTTGTTTGGAAAGGAATGTTGGGAGATCTCAGCTACTTCCTCTACTCTGCCATCTTGGCTCTGTTCCCTGAAGTCCCTGTACCTACTAAACTGTTGATGAAAGTCAAGGCTCTTGAGTCCTGGTCCCTCATCTTTTTCATTCTATACTTACTTTGTGATCTCATCAGCTCCCCGGGTTCAATGATCATCTCTGTGCAGATGATTTCCAGTTCTGTATATGGAGCCCTCATCCTGAGCCCCAGTCTCATGTCACTAAATGGATTTTGTACTTCTTGAACTTGTTGTCCAGTAGGCATTTGTAACTCAGCCTGACCAAAGCAGAATTCATTCTCTTCCCCTCTAAACTCTCCCCTCACTCAAGCTTCCCAGTCACTTAGGCTTGCAACCTTGGTGCCCCTTCCTCACATTCCCGCATCTCACTTATTCAATCTCTTGCCAAGTCTTATTTCTACCCTTACAACCCGGTTCCTCCCCTCATTCAGTTCCCCCCCTGTTGTAGTCTCTTTGTCTGGACAATAGCCTTCTAACTGACCTTTCCGCCTCGGGAGTTTCTCCCTACTTCCACAAAGTCCTCTTCTCAACTGCTACAGTGATTTTCCTAAAGCATAGAACCATGGCCCTCCGAAAATTCCTTTGGCTCCCTCTTACCTGTAGGATCAAATATTAAGTCCTCTGGCACTTAAAGTCCCTTACCATTTTGGCCCTTCCTGCCTTCCCAGCCTTCTTACACTTTACCCCCCTCCACACATTGTGATCCAGCTAGACTGACCTGGATGCTCTTCATAGACAACACTCCTCCTTCTACCTTTGCATTCTATATTTGCCTTTGCGTTAGGTGTGCCCCTATGCCCAAAATTCTCTCCCTCCTCACATCTACCTCATAGTTTCCATGGCTTCCATCAAGTCTCAGCTCATATCTTACCATCTGTAGGAGGCCTCTCCTGGATTTCCCAGCTTTTAGTGTCTTCTTCTTTAAAATTACCTCCCATCTACTCTTTGTATATCTTGTATGTACCCAATTAGACATTCTCTTCCTCCATTAGAATGTGAGCCCTTTGAGGGGTTTTCTCTCACCTGTCTTTGCATCCCTATTGCTTAGCACAGTGCCCTGCTCACAGTAAGTGCTTAGTAAATGCTTTTTATATCATTGATTGATCTTAAAAATATGTCTTTCTTAATTCCTGCAAAAAAAATTTTGTAGTCATATTCATGTAACTCCTAAGAGCATCTTGCTGGATGGATTCCCAGATAATTTACATTTCTCTAGTTACTTTGAATGGAATTTCTTTTTCTTTCTCATCCTGCTGAGTTTTCTTAGGTATGTATACAGAGACTATATTCAAGTGATGTCTTCCAAGCGAAGCTCCCCCAAGTCTGG